AACAGGAGTATTTTTCGAAGGATTTTATCACGCCACGTTATTCCATCGTCAGCGGCGTGAACCGCGTCACAAGCGATTGTGACGAGCGCGACACTAATTTGGTCCGAAGATCACACGGGGGAATGATCCATTGATCTTTCGCTCTTAATTTTCCTCAAAGGCATCCGTGCGTGCTCGACCATTCGTTCTCGGCGTCCGAATTTCCTGTACAGTCCCGAAAAATCAAGAAGACCAGACAATACACGAGGCGGACGTATTTCGTCATAAATTCCTTTCAATTCCGAAGTCCTTACTGTATTCAGCCAGTAATGTTGAGACTTTGTACTCTTTGTGATGCCGATCCGTCTTCTAAACACATTACTTCGTATTTAGCTATGTATTACCTAGTAATTATGTGCGTATCACCTAGTAATTAGTCACGTATTACCTAGTATTTCGTCACGTATTCAAAATATACGTTCATAGGTACCTATGGAAGATACGAGCAGGAATCGGTGTCATTTTGTAACCCGCGTTTTGTAAATTTAATTTACTCGATTCTCTATAAATAAAAACAATTCCACAGAAGAAGCTTATTGGAATTTTCCATTTAGAAAAAAATATAATTCGCTTCAGTTTTAACGACCCAACTGTGGAGTTTTTCTTTATCGTTAATGGAAACCACACAGCTGAGAGCTAGTAAGTACACCTAAATTCGTTATAGCAAACAAAATAGCCAACTACCAATCAACCAACGGTACGGCGGTAAATTGGCTAGTTTTTTCATTATTGAAAAAAAAACCTAATACAGTAAATATAGTGAACAGTATTGTAACTTTATTAACGTTCTATTCTAATTTTATAAATGAGAAAGTGTGTGTGTATGTTTGTTAGTCAATTGGACGAAACAATTTTGATGAATTTGGATGAAATTCCACATATTACGATATATTTTTTTACTTAGATGGTTGGACGAGTTTACGACCCACCTGAAGTTAAGTGGTTACTGAAGCCCATAGACACCTACAACGTAAATGCCGCCACCCGTCTCGAAACATCAATTGTAAGATATCAGTTTTTACAGTACAACGGCTGTCCCACCCTTCAAATCGAAATGCATTACTACTTCACGGCAGAAATAGGCAGGGTGGTGGTACCTATCCGCGTGGACTCACAAGGCATCCTACCACCAGTAATTACGCAAATTATATTTTTGCGGGTTTGATTTTTTATTAAACTATTCATTCCCTCGCTTTGAAAGTCAATCGTCAACATTTGTTAAAAACGTATTTCATTAGAAAAATTGGTACCCACCTGCGGGATTCGAACACCGGTGCGTTGCATGATACGAATGCACCGGACGTCTTATCCTTTAGGCCACGACGATTTCAAAGATTAATTTAGTATATTTATTTATTTAACTATTTAGTCTGGTTGTATTGTTGACCGCGGGGATCTACTCTGCATTTCTGTCTACTGTGTGTTTACTAGTTGTAGGACGTATTGAGCACGGCTAGATACGACTCGATCTCTTCTGTGAATAATTAATACGTGTCGATTTGAAAGATGGTGCGGTCTTTTTTGCCACGTACCATCCGGCTATGGAATGAGCTCCCCTCCACGGTGTTTCCCGAGCGCTATGACATGTCCTTCTTCAAACGAGGCTTGTGGAGAGTATTAAGCGGTAGGCAGCGGCTTGGCTCTGCCCCTGGCATTGCTGAAGTCCATGGGCGACGGTAACCACTCACCATCAGGTGGGCCGTATGCTCGTCTNAAAGCTATTCTGCCTAGTACTAAAATATTTCTGAACTAGAAGGTCAAAATACCTACTTGTTATAGTGTGGGCTGCTTAGTTTACCTACCAAGCAAACCCTGGTGTTAGTGTTCTTTCATGAACTGCCTTTCGGCCGCTGAGATGGTTCATGTTATGACAACCACTACCATCAGAGATATTAATGACCGAGATCACCTACGTAGGTTGATAGGTAAGTAACTATTTATTTATTTTGTAGTTTTCAGTGCACATAAAATAAAACCGTTTAACTTAAAAGTTTTTTTACCGATTTTTATTTAAGCATTCTTTTTAAAACAATATTAGTGCACTTCTTCTCTATATTCTCTATAAGTGTGGAAAATTTCATACTCCTCCGTCCGCGCAATTTTCGTAAAAAGGGATACAAAGTTTTTGCTTCACGTATTAATATATTATTATAGATTCGCTTTGTTAATAAAGTTTCAGTTAAACGAATACAACTCGGGAATTTTCTCGGAATTCCGTGAATTAAAAAGGCTTCGTCTAATGCGATACGGCATCAATTTCTATCAAGGGGCGTACAATGGGGAATGACCCGGTGCGCGGAGTTTTCGTGAATGCAAACGCGTTACGCGACTGTCGTGAGAGCAATTAATGCGATTGTCGTAAGAGTGACAATGTTTTTGTTAATAGACTTCTAATTGGTCAGAATACGATAAAGAGAGAGAGAGAGAGAGAGTATTCTTTATTGTACACCAAAAAAAAAATAAACAGTACGATACATCAAATACAAAAAAGTACAATTGGCGGTCTTATCGCTAAGAACGATCTCTTCCAGACAACCATCAGATGGACAAGAATCATTTGGAAACGAATTACGCGCGGTGTACCAATCCAGTACCAATACATACATACACACATACACACATACATACATATATCCGTAAATATCTCTCTCTCTTTGATCGGTTCCTCACTGCTGAGGATCGTGACTCCGTCCGATTTCGTCAACCAACTGTCTCCATCGATCCCGCCCTGCAGCCCGGTGGAGTGCGTCACTGATAGGTATCCCCAGTTCCTCCGCTATTTGGTCCGACCATCGTTTGGGACCTCTACCCCTAGGCCTTTTTCCCTCTATTTTACCGGTCACCACAAGGCGTTCCAAATTGCTGGTATCCCTATGTGCAACATGACCAAAATACCGCAATATTATTTGTAGGCAGATTGTGGATAGACGTTGAATCTTTTCTATTTTTAACTGCCTGAGAATAGATATGTTGGTGCGGCGGGCCGTCCATGGTATTCGTAGCATACGTCGCCAGCACCACATCTCAAAAGCGTCGATTCTCTGCCTATCTGCGGCTTTGAGTGTCCACGTCTCTGCACTATATAGAGCAATGGAGAAGACAAGGGTGCGGACCAGATGTATTTTAGTTCNAAAATACCGCAATATTCTTTGTAGGCAGATTGTGGATAGACGATGAATCTTTTCTATTTTTAACTGCCTGAGAATAGATATGTTGGTGCGGCGGGCCGTCCATGGTATTCGTAGCATACGTCGCCAGCACCACATCTCAAAAGCGTCGATTCTCTGCCTATCTGCGGCTTTGAGTGTCCACGTCTCTGCACTATATAGAGCAATGGAGAAGACAAGGGTGCGGACCAGATGTATTTTAGTTCGGTGGGTAATATTACGGTCTCTCCAGATTTTGCTCAGTTGGGTCATTGCAGATTTTGTCATGCCAGTCCGTCTCCGTATTTCCGGTTCGCTACTTCCTTTGTTGGTAATCAGTGAGCCAAGGTATGGGAACTGGGTTACGGTTTCGTAGTCATGTAGGAGATTGTTGCGTTGGATAGCTTTGAAACGGTCAATAATCATTAGCTTGGTCTTGGATTTATTAATAGCAAGCCCCATTTCCATACTGACGGTTTCCAGTTTGTGAAGTATACATATAAATATACATACAATTAATACACAATGTAATCAGCAAAGCATTTGTAAGATCAGCAAAGAGCTGAGCTTACAAATAGCGGGCATTTATGCTCGGTAGATTTGCCGTCTGAATGTTGTTGATTGGGGTATCTATTCTGCGTAGAATTAATTGAAGTTTTTCACGCACAAGCCTTGCTATATGAGCTCTCAAAGCATATAAAAATCATACGGCTTAAATGTGAAGTTGGGTGCAAAAAAATACAATTAAATCCTCTTGTCGGGAAAAAACGAAATTACTTTCCGAACAACCTATCATTTATGTGTGTAGTGAGTGGACTGTATGATTAGGATGGGCAAGGAACTTGATAAATAAACTCGCGAGGATTGCACGTATAAAATTTGTATATTTTTAAAATTTTATAAATCGCGTACAATAGCACGGAAAAAAGAGAATGACAAAACTAAAATATTCCAAAATTCAAAATTCTAATGTAATGTCAAAAACCACAACGACAACAATAAAAAAAGTTTTATACCAATTTGTTGGGTTTCCAACAATGTGAACTTTTTTCCTTGAAGGAAGAATTACTGGTGGCCCGGAAATCTTTCCAGTTTGTTAACAACTGTGCGTGGGCCCCCGAGCGAGACCTAACAATTCAAGGGCAGCTGCTTCACCAATGAATCTTAATGCGAACTTATGTAGAAATATATCTTCAGGTTTTTGTCGAATTTCTTAAATTGTGTGGTAGCTACCGTAGACGGAGGCTGGCTCTGATGATGATGCTGCGATCCCAGCTCTCAATATTTTTATCTCATTGGCTCATATGTGCATGTCAATAAATATAACGTTGGTATCTTGACGCACTGATCTGAACTAATAAGCTAGTTTATCTTTTATCTATATAGTCTATCTATTCTATTATATAAAAATGAATTGCTGTTCGTTAGTCTCGCTAAAACTCGAGAAAGGCTGGATCGATTTGGCTAATTTTGGTCTTGAATTATTTATGGAAGTCCAGAGAAGGTTTAAAAGGTAGATAAATATGAAAATGCTCGGAATATAAATAAAAATAACAATTATGTTTTCCCTTTGATGTGTCCCCCGTCGGACGGATTCCTTTTGTTTGTTTTATGTTTATTTTATACAAAAGTTTAGATACCTATTTTATATATCGATTGAGGCACTACGAATTCTGCCGGGTCAGCTAGTCTACTGTAAAAGACTTTGCAGCACCTTCCGAAATCCGATCTTAAGGTGGTGGCTTCTAATACGCATGCGCACGCTACCCCAGCCAAACTGTCATGGCCGTTCAGTTCGCGTATTGACGCCGTAAAGTCGCGTGTGCATTCAAAAAATCAACAACTACACGCCACAGACACCCTCAAAACCACTCCAAGGACTAGTGTTTCAGTGTTTGTGCTATCAAAAATTGGACTAAAACGTTTCAACGGTGAAAAGATATCTGGTCGAATCCGGTTTTATCTGGATAAGGCCGCTTCTAACCAACCGTGAGTAGTTTAGTGTAATTATTTCTCAAAAGTCTCCCATTCAATTGAATATTGAGGTAGTTTTTCGTACGCATGTCATTTACGTGAGTGCGTGCGTGCGTATTACGTAGATTTTGTTAAAGCTACATGTGTTTATGTACATAAGCCGCCGTAGTAAAAATTGTTATAATGATGTTGATTTAGTAAATGTATACAATGTTACCTTAATGATGTAAGATATTGATTTCGGTAAGTTATTGGGTTCAGTTTCTTTTTAACATTTTAATGTACCTACAAGATATTGAATCAGTGTTAAATGTTAACTATTAGGTATGAAGCACATGGAATATCTTCCAGTTATTAATCGGACGTTATGGGCTTAAGAACTCAATGACATGGAGAAACCTCCTCGTCTCCGGTTCTGAGGAAGAGTGTTTTAAAGTTCCAAAGTTCATGGGCGACGGTAACCACTCAGCATCAGGTGGGCCGTGTGCTCGTCGGCCTACAAGGGCAATAAAAATACTGATAATGAGGTTCAAGTGATATTTGGGTAGGGACTTAAATTGTCGGCGGGGTCCTTAATTCTAATTTTAGACCACTAAACCATTTTGGTTAGGAACTTAAATTTAACTCTGGCGGCTTTCGCAGGCCGTAACCCTAATTAAAACTAGGGTTTCGTCTCGCTTTTTCATTGTCATTATACATTATTTCGCAGGTTTCCAATAATTAATGGCTTTGATGGGTTTTTTTTTATGATTGAAATATTACTGGTGGCCCGGAGGCCTTTTCAGTTTCACCAGGACAGGTGGGCGAGCAAAGGCTCAGTCAGGAGGGGTAGGATTTGCTAACAGCTGCCTGAGCGGCTCCGAAGGAGACCTAACAACCCAAGAGCAATTGCTTTCCGAATGAATCTACTACCGGATCGGAATCCCGACCCACTGAGAAGATCCGGCGAGAAACTCAGCGGGCTGATGCATGGGTTAGGTTCCACGTCGAACTCTTTGTCGAGTTCGACGAGTACGGTTACCGGGGTTCCTAAGCCTGCTCCTAGTGTTAGAGCTGAAGGCGTCTAATGCCAAGGTTATTGGATCTGATGGATCCGTCAACTCCAGGCTTTGATGATTCACGGACAACTAAAATGCTATTCGTCAACATTTGAATATTTTGTTAACTACCCTCTATATTTCTATAATAAAAAATTCTTCACTTTGTGGAGTTTGCGAAACATCGTAAATAATATAATGACAATACAATAAACGCGATATTAAACCGTACAAACAATTTTAATTATATTTTAAGCTGTCAATAGAGAAGGAATTATTTTTCATTTGTATCACAAAAACTTTAAATACGCTGAAGACGTTTGCAAAGGAGATGAACGCTACTGATTCGTGTCTAACCTCCCCACCTGAGACTCCACAATTTTTCCCGAGCGCTATGACGTCCTCTTTCGAATAGTTTTGAAGAGACTTTACTGGTGGTAGGACCTCTTGTGAGTCCGCACGGGTAGGTACCACCACCCCGCCTATTTCTGCCGTGAAGCAGTAATGCGTTTCGGTTTGAAGGGCGGGGCAGCCGTTGTAACTATATTGAGACCTTAGAACTTATATCTCAAGGTGGGTGGCGCATTTACGCTGTACTTGTCTATGGACTCCAGTAACCACTTAACACCAGGTGGGCTGTGAGCTCGTCCACCCATCTAAGCAATAAAAAAAAGACTCCTCAGCGCTAGCCAATCGTCGCGGCTGTCATAGCCTAGCATCTCTGATATCAATTATTGGTATTCACCACTCAGATGTACCGTAAGCTCATTTTATTTGGAAGTCTATAAAAGATTATAATGATTCATTACAAAATGACATGCAGATCTTTGGAGTACATAGATTAATAAGTAGTTCGAAAATAAATAATAGTTTTAAAAAACTAAAGAAAACGCTTTATACAAAATTCAACTAAAAAATAGAAAATAAATTTTAATAAATTTTAATTGAAAATAGGGTTAAAAAAATATTTTATTGAAAAAAAAAAGCTTTTTCTTCAATTTTTTTTTTTCAATTTTATTTTTCCAATCTTTTTTTTATACATTGAATTGTCATCGGTCCTCGATAAATCTACAAAGTTTGAATGAAATCTGGCCGTTTAAAGTGGGTCAAAATCGCGTCTAAAGGTGTCAGTTACAAACATACAAACATACATACAAGTGAAGCTAATATAAAGCGTGTAAAAAAAATGTCTGACCGTAAGATGTCTGGCCCCAACTTTATATTCGATGCTAAGTCTGCAGAGGGACAACATTTTCGAAGCCTTTTCATTTTCTCGTGTCGTTTCTTTATTTCTCTCGAAAGCGCTCGTCTATGGCTCTCTTCAGATGAATCGTTTTTTTTTTCCTTCAGCACGAAAAACTCCGTATTTCTTGGAATAGAAATTTTGAATAAAAGCTTCTTGCTTATCAAGATAAGCACTTAAGTAATATATACAAAATTTCAGCAATAGCGTTGATTAAAGGTTACATTATTTTTTAAATTTGCAGCTACGTACCTTTTGACTTTCATTTATATTTCAGTCATAATAATGAAACTTAAGTGACATTGACAATACGTTCTGTCGGGTGACGTCAACAACCGAACGTGTTGTCAATATGACATGACGTCAATATTATATGATAACTAGCTGACCCGCGGCAAACGTTGTGTTGCCTTAAATAAGATTTCTAGGGAAATTCTACTGTAGAAAAAAAAACCTCATTTAACCACATAATACCTCATTATAAACAAAAAAAAAATATCCAAAAAATTCAAATAAAAATAAATGTTTGGGGTGGACAACCCTTTTCACTTAGGGGTATGAAAAATAGATAGTAGCCGATTCTCAGACCTACTGAACATACTATTGATACACAAATAAAACCAAAAAAACATGGCTGAAAAATTTATAGTATTGTATAGCTCTCAAATATAATAAGTGATGATATAATCTATGATGTGTAGTGAGTGAGTAAGACAGGAGACCGGCTTCGTCCTCATCCCTACTACGTGATGTTTGCTGGATGAGTGGTGACACCTGGCGTGGATAGCTGATCGATTGATAGTTGATCGGCGAGGGCGGGAGATCAAATTCAATTTAAAAAAAATCATAATTAAAGGAACTTGAAATTATAAACTCTGAATAAGAATTTATCGTACTACAATTATAATATTTGATTGCCATCTTGCAACCTTATTGCGGATCTGTGCATAGAATAAAAAAAATATTAATCGGGATNCCCGCCACCGGAGTAGAGTTCATCCATACTACCTGGAGCCACTGCGGTCATCCACAGTGCGTTTCCAGAGGTCTTTTTTGCCACGTACCATCCGGCTATGGAATGAGCTCCCCTCCACGGTGTTTCCCGAGCGCTATGACATGTCCTTCTTCAAACGAGGCTTGTGGAGAGTATTAAGCGGTAGGCAGCGGCTTGGCTCTGCCCCTGGCATTGCTGAAGTCCATGGGCGACGGTAACCACTCACCATCAGGTGGGCCGTATGCTCGTCTGCCTACAAGGGCAATAAAAAAAAATTTAAAGATGGGACAGCCGTACTATAGAACAGATAATTAAAACTCATGTTTCAAGTTGGATGGCGGCGTTTCTATTGTTGATGTCTATAGGCTCCGGTAACCACTTAACAACAGGTGGCCCGTCAGCTCGTTGCACCGTCTGCAATAATTTAAATACACGATAGTTTTTGCTGGTTCGTGATTTTAATTACAAACGAGACTAGAAGTCGACTGGTCGTAATTAACCAGAGAGCGAAACAATCAACTCTTTATGCCAAGAAAACGCAAGGTATCTATATATTAATACGTGAAGCAAAAACTTTGTATCCCTTTTTACGAAAATTGTGTGGACGAAGGAGTATGAAATTTCCCACACTTATAGAGAATATAGAGCAGGAGTGCAGAAAGTTCATATTTTTTTAAATTATGCATAAAAATACATTAAACCGATAAAAAAAATCATTACACACACTACCGTATATTTGACACACACACAGGCATACTATTTGTTTATTGTCAAACTTTTCTTATTGCTTATAGTTTGTGGTCAAATTGAGATTAGATTAAATATTATTTGCCTTTATTAATATTTACCTAAAGTGTAGGGCTGGCGAAATCTGTGATTATTATAGAAATATAATAGTCTTTGACAATAGAATCATAATAGTGTACAAACTTATAATTTTAATTAACTATAGTCGAATATCGACTACCAGGGGACCACTAGTTTAAGTTATTCGCGCTAAAGATATAACGTGGATAAAAATGTGGTAAACATGAGAGAATGACCTCACTCAGAAGGATACCGAAGACCGGGCAAAGTGGAGGAGTTTAAGTAGGAAAGCGGATCCTGGCATTAGATCGGGAAAACGCTTGGAAGAAAAAGAAAAAGAAGATTAATAAAATCTACGACTGACTCTAAGAAAGTGTCTTTCACCCCCGCGTACATTTCTGTTAACGTAAAGCATTTATAAATACTAGAGGTCCCGCAGTAGTCGAAATTCGACTATAATTAATTGTAATTGTAAGTTTGTACACTATTATGATTGTATTTTATACTTCTATAATCACAAATTTCGCCAAGGCTACACTATAAAAAATATTAATAAAGACAAACAATATTTAAACTATTCTCAATTTGACCACAGACGTCAAGAATAAAAGTTTGACAATAAATAGTATGCATGCGTGTGTGCGTCAAATACATGGTATGTAGTGTGTGTAATGTTTTCTTTATTGATTTAATGTATCTTTTATGCATTATTTAAAAAAAATATTAGCATTGTGCACTTCTTCTCTATATTCTCTATAAGTGTGGAAAATTTCATACTCCTCCGTCCGCGCNGGGCTGATGGCTTTGAACTACGCCATATCTTTATGTTTTGCGACAAACGACAACTTTATAAAATCAGTGTAGCAACTTTTAAAAATCATCATATCGTTTACTTGGCAAATTCGAAGGACGAACTTGTCTTAGATTTCACCCA